TGGAGCCACTGGGGGATTTGAACCAGAAAGGTGCTGTCCTTGAGGTTAGCTGAGCAGCTCTCTTGGGACTAGGCCACCAGAGCTCTCTTCCATGGGGAAAGGCCTGCAAGTTAGCTCTTGTGAAGAACACAGCATAGAAACCCTCAGGGGACAGTTCCACTGAGCCACACAGGGTCCTTCTGCACTGAAACTGACTGGACGGGCCCTAACCACCACTCCCTTTTCTCCTCTGTGAACTTCAAGCCACATTCTCTCTGGGTTAGGAGGCAAACACAAGGTGCTCATCAATAACGAGGGTGGGTGAGGAATGTAAACAGCCAAGTGCCCAAACTGGTTAAAGAATCTACAGAACACCAGGCATTACAAAAATTTGTATGTCCAGGGACTATTTAACATTGGAAAATGCCTCTAACAGAATATTAAGTTTTATAAAGCAGTAACACAAAACAACTATCTCACCCCAGTAACAATAGCAAAATTTAACAGAACAGCAAACAACAAATGCTGGCGAGGTTGTGGAGAATCTGTAACTCTTATTCACTGTTAGGTGGGAATGTAAAATAGTGCAATCACTATGGAAGGCTGTATGACGCTTTCTCAAAAAGTTGCAAATAGAAATACCATTTGACCGAGCAATTCCACTATTAAGAATTTATTTACCCTAAAGAAACCATAACCGACAGCCAAGCAGATACATGCACACCCATGTTTATTGCAGCTTTGTTCGCAATAGCAAAGAGCTTGAAGCAACCCAAGTGTCCATTAACAAATGAATGGATAGAGAAGCTCTGGTATATTCACACAATGCAATACTATGCAACATTGAAAACAAGGAACTCATGAAATATTATGCAAAATGGATGACAATGGAGGACATTATGCTGAGTGAAATATCTCAGCTACAAAAGGACAAATTTTGCATAGGGCCACTGCTGTAAAATGGGACTGATATCGGGGTTGAGGGAAGGCAGAGGTGGAGTGGAGGAATGATGTATACTGCACTGAAACAGATGAGGGAGAGAACTGTTTAAAAGGGATCTATGATTGAGTATTATTATCATAACAGGAGTCCAGAACGAAGGCTGCACAGTGGAGTGGACTCGGGGGGAGGTATTGCATAACAATGAAAAAAGTTTTTCTTTTACTTTTCAAGAAGAGTGAATTGGGGGGGAGAAGATGGGCAGGGAAAAAAGTGCAACAATGAATGACTGGAAACCCTAAGTCTCTGTAAACTTTCATTAAAATTAATTTTTAAAAAAGCAGTAACAACAAAACTCTAAAATATAACCACATGTTCCCTATTTTATGGAAAGACATTGTTTTGTATTATTCAGAGATGAGAAACAATAGAAAGAATAACACTGAAACGGACAGTGGCTATCTATGTTTTTTTCTTAATGGTGGGATTAAATGAGATTTTTAAAAATTTTTTCATGTGGAGCTTTGGTGGCCTAGTGGCAAGGAGCTGCAACTACAATCCCAGAGGCGCACGGTTTAAATCCACCAGATGCTATGCCGGCGAAGGAGGGACAATCTCCTCCTGTACCAGTCAGATCTGATTTGATGGTACACTCACACAAAAATAATAAAATAAGAAAATTTTTAAAAAAAAATTTCTTCATGCTTTTCCAAACTTTGAATTTTGCCTTAACATTCTGACTACATCCTAAATATTTGCTAGTCTCAAGCTTGAATTTCCTTTTATGTTCTTGCCACAATGTCACCTGACCTCTGCTTGAACTCCGTCAGTGATGGGGAACTCACTGTTTTAAGAGGTCTTTTTTGAACACTTCTTCCTCATGAGAAGTAGAAATCTGGTTCCCCATAATTTTCCCTCCTAGCTCCAGTTCTGCCTTCTGGAACAGCAAAGGCCAGGTCTCCTCTCCACACCCCGTGAGACAGAGGTATGAAGGCTGTGGCCTGGCGCTAGGCTGAGTCCAAATTGCCCTCATCAACCTGTCAAGGACATTACTGCCATCTCCCTGTTCCTGCTCTCTCTGAGCACAACCCAGGCTTGATGTTCTCAGAGTATAACCCTTCTATGTCTGCCCTTAAAGTGCTAAAGAGCAAGGATGTAATTTTAAAGACTAAAGTGTGCCTGACTGAAGCTATGATATTTCCCAATTGTTTCATATGCATGTGAAAATTGGACAATGACTAAGGAAGACCATACAGTAGATGCCTTTAAAGTGTGATGTTGTTGAAGAAAGCAGAGTACCAGGGGAATGTCAAACTATATTTCATTGACTATGCAAAGACATTTGACTGTGTGAATCACAACAAATTGTGGCTAACTCTGAGGAGAATGGGAATCCCAGAACACTTGACTGTACTTAAGCGAAACCTATACCTGGACCAAGAGGCAGTCGTCAGAACAGAGCAGGGAGACACTGCCTGGTTCAAAATTGGGAAGGGTGTGTGTCAGGATCTGTCCTGTCTCCATATCTTTTCAATCTGTATGTGGAGCAGTTTATCCAGGAAGCTGGGCTCTATGAGGAGAATTGTGGCATCAGGATTGGTGGAAGATTCATCAACAATCTGCATTATTCAGATGATACAACCCTGCTTGCTGAAACTGAGGAGGTCTGAAGCACTTGCTGTAGAAGGTCAAGGATTGCAGCCTTCAATATGGATTGAAGCTCAACATCAAGAAAACAAAGATTCTCACCACTGGGCCGATTGGCAGCATCATGATGGATAATGAAGAGATTGAGATTGTTGACAGCTTCAGTTTGCTTAGCTCTACAATCAACACTCTTGGTGCCCGCTGCCAGGCCATTAAAAGACACATTGCATTGGGAAAGTCTGCTATCAGAGACCTCTCTAAAGTACTGAAGAGCAATTATGTCAGTCTGGAGACTAAGGTGCTCCCGATACAGGCCATGGTCTTTGCAATTACTTGCTGTGCATCAGAGAGGTGGACAACGACTAGGGATATAGAAGGAGAGTTGATGTCTTTGAGCTTTGGTGCTGGAGAAGAGTATTGAATATACTATGGACTGCTAGGAGAACAAACAAGGTCGTCCTGGAGAGGGTGAAGCCAGGTTGCTTCTTGGAGGCAAGGATTCTGAAGCTCCGTCTTACATACTTTGGACATGTTGCATGGCGGGATCAGTCCTTGGAGAGGGACGTCATGCTTGGGAGGGTGGAGGGATAAAATAGGACAGGAAGACCCTCAATGAGAAGGATTGATTCAGTCTCTGCAGTAATGGGGATAGGCGTGTCAGAGACAATAAGATTGGCAAGGGATAGAGCAGGGTTTAAGGCTGTTGTACATAGGGTCGCTATGAGTTGCAGGCGATGCCACCACATAACAACAACAACAACAACCACCACCACCATGAACCACCAAAAGAACAAAATCTGTCTTGGAGAAGTACAGCCAGAGGTTTCCTTAGAAGCAAGGATGGTGAGACTTCCGCTCAGTTGCTTTGGGTAAATATTATCAAGGAAGAGATTCCCTGGAGGAAGGTATCATACTTGGCATGGGGACACTAGATGATGACATGTAGAGGAGAGACCACGAGGGTTGTCTCCCCTTTGGCAGAAGAGGAATGCAGTCAACCAGATGGACAGACACAGTGACCACAACGATGCACTTCTGCACTGCAGAGACTGTGAGAACAGCACAGGTCTGTGCAGGGCTCATTCTGCTGCATACAGAGTTGTTATGAGTTGGAGTCGACAACAGTGACACCTGCAATACCTGCCTGTGACAGCACCCACATTGTTGTTGTTATCTATTTATTACATGCATTTTTCCATCTAATCCTAAAGAGCAATGCTATGACACAGGAACCATGCTCACACTTATTTTACAGATGAGAAAACTGAGGCATGGACAAGCCAAATCAATTTCACGATCACTTGAAGGATCTCTTGTGGAGACAGGAGCGTGGTGTGGTTGACACACAAACATCTGCCAAATTCTCAAATAAGCAAGGAGCTTGGGTGGCATAAGGGGTTTAGGATCGATGGGCTGCTAAATGAAAAGCTGTAACAGGAAGAGAGGCCTGGTAAAGCACTTCCATAAAGGTCACAGTCCAGAAAACCCCTCAGGGCAGTTCTACTGTGTAGCACAGGAAGCTGCGTGAGTGAGAAGAGGCTCAGTAGCAAGGGTTGATGGGAACTCTACTCGGAAGCCCAAGTCTTTAGCCTTTATGGTTCTGATTTCAGAGTTATTTGCCATCTCTCTCACCTTCCCTGGTATCTCGAAAAGCGCATGAAGAGCATCTGAATGACTCAGAAGCCCTGATTCCCTGCTCAGGGCTGTGGGGCTATGGCTGCAGCTGAAGGCCTGGGAGGTGAGACATCACATTGGTGGCACTGTGGAATGATGCACAGGGAAGACACCATGAGCCACAGCTGCTCTCCTCTTTGCCAGGAGGCTGGGAATGGGCTCGGGAGCTCAAGCCTCCAGAGTTGGCACCCGGAGATGAAACTGGACAGAAGCTATTCCGGAGGGATGGAAACATGCATGGACTTGGCCAGGAAGCCCCTGTTCACTGCTGTCACCTCTACAGGCTAGACACCGGAAGGATTTCTCCTTGGCTCCTACCTTCTCTGCCCACCCTTCTTACAAATCCTCCTGTGAATACATGGGGTGGACATTTCCAAGAAGGGTTTAGGAAGGACCATGCAATGCAGATGGCTCCTTAGCACCCACTCCTTGGTCCATCAGGGATTTCCACTCATTCCACATAGTCCACTCCCTGGATTCCAACCTGTCCTACCGTGGCAGGGGCAAGGCCCAGTGTGGGCCCCTAGTGGGGTGCAGGAGCAGCTGACAGCTAAGGCTGCAAGCACTGCAGATCAAATCACTCAGCAAACCCACTAGTCCTTGAGCCAAGAGGAGTGTAAATAGGTCCTGACATTATCTACTTGACATTAGTGAAGGGGGCCCCTAGGTAAGCTCCCCTCTCCAAGATGAACCCCATTATACTAGAATGGCTCCAGCTGTCCTTGCCCTGTGGCTGGGTAACTCCCGTTTAACTTCCCACTCTCCTCTGAGGCTTATCGCCTCCAAGAGGCTGTTCTGTAGCTCTTAGAGCTGGCTGTGGTGCTCCTGTTGACCCTTGGCTAACTCCTCGCACAGCCCTTATCCATTCCTCCCTCATTCCCCCAGATACACATCTGCTCTGTGCTCTGCAGAGGCTCTAGGTGGGGACTGCAAAATCCCAGACTCCGTAGCCGGCTGCCGACTTGCTCCACGACTTTGGCCACAGTGCTTCTCACCAGGCCTCAGTTTACTCACCTGTAGAGTGGTGACAGTCCCACAGCTCAGCCTAGTTCCTGGGGTTTGTATGAGGCTCCAGCAAAGATAAGGATGTGAAAGTACACGGTAGGCTGCCACTCGGAGTGAGTCACTGTTAGCACGAACTGCCCCTCATTTTCATGCATCCATTCTCAGGGCACCACCCCCAAACCAAAACGAAAAACCAAACTGTCAAGTCCCTGCTGCCAAGTCCACTCTGACCTGCAGCAACCTCTGGGACAGGGGAGAGCTGATACACAGGCTTCCCAAAGCCAGAAATTTTATGGAAACTGACTGTCCCACCTTTCGCCTGTGGAGCAGGCTGGTGGGGTGGAAGGACTGACCTGTGTGTCAGCAAGTAGACCAGTGCTTTAATCGCTGTGCCACCAGCCACCTTCAAAAACAAAGCCCAGATCCACTGATCCTAAGCTGCCTCCACCACACACAGACTCCACAGGACAGAGACCTGCCTCACACTGTCTATCCTCGGGTGACTTCCCGCCCACAGTGACCCTTCAGCAGGTTTCACAGGCTGTGAATCTCTGTGGCAGGAGACGGCTCATCTCCCTTGGAGCAGCTGGTGGACTTTGATGATGGCCTTTTGGTTGTTGTGTACCACTGAGCTGGAACCGACCCACAGCATGATTTGCCAGTGGGTTCTCAGAGGCAGTAAATCGCATGGCAGACTGCCCACCTTTCTCCTGTGAAGAAGCTGGTGGACACCCGCTGTGTACCTCTGCATTGGCAGTGCCAATTCCTTACCACTAAAGCCACCAGAGTAGGGCCCCTGGTTAGCAGTCCTCAGTGTCAACACACTACCAGCACACCTTTCCTTACAGGAGCAGACTACCACAGCTTTCTTTTCTGGCAGATGGATGGGTTTGAACGTTTTGTTAGCAGTCAAGTGCTTTAATCCCTGCTCTACCAGAGGCCTTTAGGGCTCCTTGAGGGACTGAAATGTGCAGGAGCACCGTTTCAAAGGTTGGAAAAACACATGAACTTTAAACAAAATCTGTCACGTCGGGTGAAGCCTGCTATTGCTGTGGCAGAGAAGTCAGGCAGCTCTGAGGCAAGAGGGGCGAAGGCTCTTAGGCCAAAGGTCTCTGCTGTTGTCAGGAAGCTATTAGGGGACCTGGGCAGGGTGGTAAGAAAGACACTGGGTTAGGGGTTTGGATACTTAGACTTTGCTTAAAGTTGCTTTGTGACCACAGCCAAGATCCTTCCCCTTTCTAGGCTTTCACCTCTATCAGTACATTGAATGAGTCAGCCTGAGCGGTACCCAAGGTTCAGTCCAATTCATCTGTTTTTCAATCTGTTTCTCAACCCATTCTCCTTGCCCTTTAGTTTGGGCCAGAGACGTCCGACCTGACCTGTGCCAGGGAGAGATGGGAGAGGCTGCTGTGTTCAGAAGGGCCAAGAAGCACCATGACCCAGGCTCACTGTGGCCTACTCTTCCAGCCTACGGAAGAGCTGGGCCCGGAGCGGGCTCCTCCCCCAGCTTCCTCTGGGTAGGTGGAATCTGACTTTGGCCTACTTTGCAGATTGAGAGGTTGACACAAGTGTAGAGGTCACAGGCTCTCAAATCCTCGTTCACTACCCTCTTCATACAGAGGGGGAAACTGAGACCCAGAGAGGAGTACAAGAGGACAATCACGTACTGGTCTTGCCGCAGAGCCAGGATTTAAGCCCAAGATTGATGTTCTCCTGTCATCAGCTTGGCTACAAGTCTCAGGCCAGGAGGCTCTGGGAATTATCCTGCCTGCATCTGTCAGTTATAGGACCAAGCCTCAGTTTCCCTGTTGGGGCCAAGGAAGTTGAGAGGTTTTCTGGGTCCAAGTTTGGTGTGATTTTTTGAACAGGGAATAAAGACATGGGGAAGTGGGATGGGGGAGGGGCACTGTGCTTCATAGCAGAATGTATCTTCCTAGTCAAGGCTGAGAACAGGGAATAGAATCATCTGGGTCTGGGATAGTATTGGATACCCAATACGCAGAAATGCTTGTGCTGAGGGCATCAGCAAAGCAGGGACAGAGAGAGGCAGAGATTCAATTTCAGTACACGATCACTAAATATTATCACAGTGTGGGGGCCTCTCAGGCCTCCAGGTGGACTCTTCTTAGAGTTGTGAAACCATCTAATCCCACCTGGCTGGCAGGCAGCAGCAGGTGTAGGGCAGGGTTCGAGTCCAGGGGTCTGCTTTAGCTGCTGAAGGACTTGTGGGTCTGCCCTTTCCCTCTCTCCTCTCGGGGCCTCAAGTCACCCCCTGAGGAAGGTGTCCTCTTATCTCCAGGCTCTGACCTTCTGGCCTTGTCAAACCCCAAGGGGCAGCTGGTCCCACTGTAAGAAACTTGAGCAGAGTCCCCTGGGCCCTAACCCAGCTCTGAGGCCCCTTGGGGGAGGCATAGAAGGGAGGGGAGCAGAAGGCCCTAACACCTCCTCCCGGTTTGGCCCCTCCCAGCTACCCCAGGGCAGCAACAAAGCGCCCTGGGCTGAGGCCTGGAGGAGGCCCTAGAGCAGTGCTGTTCAAACTTTAAAGCTTAGAAGGGTTATCTGGATATCTTGTTAAAAATCAGCCTCTATTTTAGCAGTTCTGGGGCAGAGCCAGAGATTCAGCTTTTCTAACAGCTCCTATGGGATGCAGATGCTGCAAGTCTCTGGACCACTCCGCGGTTAGCAGGGCCCTAGAGAGGTCTGCCTCTTAACCAGTTGAAAAGCTAAAGAAGGCCCAGAGAGGTCAAGTCACTTGTCCATAGCCACACAGCGAGCTTCCCCAGGCTGAAGGCGCAGGACACCTGCCGCAGACACCAGACATTCCCCACCCGCAGCAGCCTGACCCGCCGCCCTTCCCGGGCCCCGGGGCTGTGTTTGTAAACTCGGCTGCCCCGCGCGGCTCTGCCCGGAGCTGGAGCCTGGGGACAAGCGCAGCCCGGCTGATTCTTCCCTGCCTCCGGGCAGGCCTGTCGCAATATTCTATTTGGGGAGCAAAGGGGCCCCAGCCGCGGATTCGCTCCGTGACTCCCCCGCCCCTTCCGAAGGCAAACTTCTCTGCTGGAGTCCTTTACCTTTTTGGGGGGTTTGCAGCAGCTCAGTTTGCTGTGTCCACTGCCCATCCTCCTCCGGGGGCTCCCGGGCGCCGCCTCTCAACTCCGGGGCCCCCAGCGGACCCTGCCCTCCGGGCCCCGCCGCCTGGTGCGCGCCCGCCGGCCGGGGCTGCCGGCAGACCCTGAAACTGAACCTGGAAGCGCCTACTTATGCCCGAGCCGGCGGCCGAGCGCCGTAAATATCCGAAAAGCCGGGCCTCCGCTAAGCCCGCCGCTCCACCGGACTCAAGCAGGTGACCAGAATCTTTGTAAGTGATAGGCACCTCAGGCCTGGGCACGGGCAGCAGGTGCTTTTCCAGGCCCTCAACTAGAAAGGGGGAAGGGGGATAAAAGAAATTAAAAAAACAATTACTAGAAACAGTAACTACAGTTTGAACAACTATTAGACACTGTAACTGCAGTTTGCCGGCTGGGAAAGAAACACGTTTCTTTCATATATGTATATGCCATATCCTCGCAACAAAAATATAATTTCTTTTGTTACATGAGTGAGGAAAATGAGACTTATAGATGTGAAGTCATTTGCCTAAGTTCCAACAATTAGTAAGTATAAGAACCCAGAAAGAACACAACTCTTAACTTCAGAAACTAATATCTGAGTCACTTCCCTGAAAGTACAATAATAATAATAATAATTTCCAGGTTAATTATGACACCACCTCACTTCCGCGTAGACAATTCTCAGCTTCAAACATCTGCAAGCTCTATCTCTATCCACCATGATAGTTTTCCCCATCACAGCAACCTTGTGAATAGCCAAGGAGGACATAATGGCAATAAGGGACCGTGAGATGCCAGTGTCTGGGAAAAGGAACTTGTAATTATTTTCACTTTGCTGCTAACTGCTACTCTGCTCCTCGGAGGCAAGGATTTTGAAGCTCCATCTGACATATGCTGGGCATGTGGCCAGGAGGGCCTGGTCCTTGGAGAAGGACATCATAGCGCAGAAGAGGAAGACCCCAGATGAGATGGATCGACTTAGTTGTTGGGGTAACGGGGTTAGGAAATTGGCTCAAGATAGAACAGGATTCAACAGTATTGTACAGAGGGTGGCTAAGAGTCACAGACCACAGTGCATAACAACAGTAACTAGGACTAGCTGCTACTAGTTTCTGGGAGTGAAATACAGGAAGAAGACACCTAACATTGAAAAATAGTCTGTGGTTATATCTTTTGAAATTAGAGCAAAGCCTAGAGATACTTGGAAAGATATATTGATGAAAGGGACTGTGTTAACGCCCTTGGGCTGACAAGGCACCACAGGCTTTGAGCTGTTGTTGATGTTGTTGTTGTAGTTATGTGCCGTGGAGTCACTTGCGACTCATAGTGACCCTATGCACAACAGCCCTAAACTCTGCTCTGCCTTGTGTCAATCGCACTGTCTCTGACACTCCCATCCCAATAACCCCAGTCATCGAATCAATCCACCTCATAGAGGGCCTTCCCGTCCTGCACTGTCCCTCCACCCTCCCCAGCATGATGTCCTTTTCCAAGGACCGGTCTCTACTTACAACATGTCCAAAGTATGTTAGACAGAGCCTCAGAATCCTTGCCTCCAAAGAGCCACCCGGTTTAACCCTTTCCAGGATGAATCTGTTTGTTTTCCTGGCAGTCCATGGTACTCTCAATACTCTTCTCCAGCACCACAGCTCAAAGGCATCAATTCTCCTTCTGTCCTCCTTGGTCATTGTCCAACTTTCTGATGCATAACAAGTGATTGCGAAGACCATGGCCTGTATCAGACACACCTTAGTCTCCAGAGAGACACAATTGCTGTTCAGTACTTTGGAGAGGTCCCGAACAGCAGACTTTCCCATGGCAATGCACCTTTTAATTTCCTGGCTACTGGTGCCAAGAGTGTTGACTGTGGAGCCAAGCAAACGAAAGTTGTGAACAATCTCAATCTTTTCACCATCCATCCTGATGCTTCCAATTGGCCCAGTGGTGAGAATCTTTGTCTTCTTGACATTGAGCCTCAATCCATATTGGAGGCTACAGTCCTTGACCCTCTGCAGCAGGTGCTTCAGGTCCTCCTCAGTTTCAGCAAGCAGGGTTGTGTCATCTGCATAACGCAGATTGTTGATAGATCTTCCACCAATCTTGACCCCACATTTCTCCTCATAGAGCCCAGCCTCCCGGATAATCTTTTCTGCATACAGGTTGAAAAGATATGGAGATAGGACACATCCCTGGCGTATGCCCTTCCCAATTTTGAACCATGCAGTGTTGCCCTGCTCTGTTCTGACGACTGCCTCCTGGCCGAAGTATAGGTTTCGCATTAGGACTATCAAGTGTTCTGGGATTCCCATTCTTCTCAGAGTCAGCCACAGTTTGTTATGATCCACACAGGCAAATGCCTTTGCATAATCAATGAAACACAGATATACATTCCTCTGGTATTCCCTGCTTTCAGCTAAGATCCATCTAACATCAGCTATAATATCCCTAGTACCACGACCCCTTCTAAACCCAGCTTGGACTTCCGGCAGTTCTCTGCTGATGTGCTGTTCCAGTCGTTTTTGAGTAATCTTCAGTAGAATCTTGTTTGCATGAAATCAATGAGATTGTTCTATAGTTTCCACACTCTGTTGGGTCACCTTTCTTTGGAATGGGAACAAATATAGATCTCTTCCAGTCTGTTGTTGATAGGTGGGTTTAAGCCCCTTTCAATTCATACAAGCCCTATCTACAACAGAACTACTTTCTGTTAGGTCCTGCTCCATCCTCACAAGCCCTCGGTGCTTTAATCCCAGTCATTGTGTCCATTATTCTCCAATATGAGCCCACATTAACTTGTTAACTATAATCAAACTTTCAAAAATTAGATTTCTAAATAAGTACATGTGCGCATTCACAAGGATTAGAGGCTAGGATTTGCAAACAGTTCAAAAACTACAGCCTTCGATATGAATTGAAACTCAACATCAAGAAAACAAAGATTCTCACCACTGGGCCGATTGGCAGCATCATGATGGATGGTAAGAGATTGAGATTGTTCATAGCTCTAGTTTGCTTAACTCCACAGTCAACACTCTTGCTACCAGCAGCCAAGGAATTAAAAGATGAATTGCACTGGGAAACTTGGCTGTCAGAGAACTCTCCAAAGTACTGAAGAACAACGATGTCAGTCTGGAGACTAAGGTGTGGATGATACAGTCCATGGTCTTTGTAATTACTTGCTATGCATCAGAGAGCTGGACAATGATGGTGGATGACAGAAAGAGAGTTGATGCCTTTGAGCTGTGGTGCTGGAGAAGAGTATTGAATATACCATGGACTACTAGGAGAACAAACAAGTTCATCCTGAAGAGGATAAGCCAGGCTGCTCCTTGGAGTCAAGAAGTCTGAGGCTTTGTTTGACATACTTGGACATGTTGCAAGGTAGAATCAGTCCTTGGAGAGGGACATCATGCTTGGGAGGGTGGAGGGACAGTGCAGGAGGGGAAGACCCTCTATGAGGTGGATTGATTCAGTGACTGGAGTAATGAGGGAAGGTGTGTCAGAGACAATGAAATTGGCACAGGATAGAGCAGGGTTTAGGGATGTTGTACATAGGGTCACTATGAGTCGCAGGTGACTCGACAGCACATAACAACAACATACACTGTTGTGTACTCTACAGTTTTTTACAGTCAGAACTGACCCTCAGGTGGCTTTTCTGAGGCAATAATCATACAGAAGGAGATTGCCAATCTGTCTCCTGTGGAGTAGCTGGTAGACTCAAACCGTGTGCCTTTGGGATTGCAGCACAGCTTCTTGGCACTAGGCCACCAGTGCTCCCTACCTGTACATGAACACCTGTGGCCCAGTGGCAAAAAGCTGTCCTGCAATCCTGAAGCCATGTGGTTTGAAAACACCAGCTGTTCCACAGGAGAAGGGTGGGAAATCTCCTCTGCAATTAACTGCCTCTTAAAAACCTGCTAGAGGGTCAGCTATGGGTCAATTCTGACTTGATGGTAAACAACAACAACAACAGCACACACACACATGCACACAAAATTTAGGGTTCTAAAATTCAGCCAATAACAAGAGATTATAGCGATGAAGGAAAAAAGAATAACAGTCCATTAAAAATAAACCCCAAACCCTTGTGTCAATTCCCTCCCCCTCTCCTGTGTAAGACCTATCATAGAAGGCTCTAAGAATGAAAACGAAGGAAAACTTACATATCAAATCCCACATAAGACCCACAGATGTAAATCCAGAGCTGGGGCTCAAGAGTCTATATCTTTACAAGCCGTCCGAGGATTCTGGTGGTCTTTGAAATTACTTGCTATGCATCACAGAGCTGGACGATGACTAAGGATGACAAAAGAAGAATCAATGCCTTTGATTGTGATGCTGGAGAAGAGTATTGAAGAAACAGATCTGTCTTGGAGACGGTGAAACCAAACTTCTCCTTTGAGGCCAGGATTTTGTAGCTCTCCCTCACATACTTTGGTTTGGGCACATGGCCAGGAGGGACCAGTCCTTGGAGAAGGACATCACACTCAGAAGAGTGGAGGGGCAGTGCAGGAGATGAAGATCCCAGATGAGATGGATTGATATAGTAGTTGGGGTAATGGAAGTAGGTGAGATTGGCTCAGGACAAGGCAGGCTTCTGAGCTGTTGTGCATCGGGTCGCTATGACAAGTGACTTGACAGTACATAACGACAACTGGTGATTCTGATATACTCTAAAGCGTAAGAACTCAAACTGTAGACTATGCTTGGACAGCAACAAGGAACATGTCTACTTAAATTAACAGTGTTCATCAAAGCAGTGCTCATATAAATGAAAATGGAAACAACCTAAATATTGAAGAAAACGGCATTAGTTAGACTATGAAAAGCCAAAACAAAAATCCACTGGTATAGATTCCAGTTCATAACAACCCTGTAGGGTTTCCAAGGTTTTAAGTATTTAAAGACGGAAACTTGCCCTGTCACCCAAAGTGCCTAATGAGATTGAACTGATGACCTTTTGATTAGCAACAGAGTACTTAACCAGAGAGTTATGAGTTAAAGCCTTCAGGGCTCTATGAAACTATGATACATCTATAAAAACAGAGTGCTGGGCTGCTAAAATGCTGATGAAGAAGAACATTTCTTTTAAATGTTACAAGGTATCTTTTCTAGTTATTTAGGCACCAGTAGCCAGGAAATAAAAAATCGTATTGCGATGGGAAAGTCTGCGGTTAGGGACCTCTCTAAAGTACTCAAGAGCAACGGTGTTCTCTGGAGACTAAGGTCCTCCTGATACAGGCCATGGTTTTTGCAATCACTTGTTATACATCAGAGAGTTGGACAATGTCTAGGGAGGATAGA